TTTTTTTTCAAATATACAGGTACTGCTAGTGCGCCATAATTGGCTTGAGTCATTTAGCAGTTACGTGGACTCATAATTAGCGTGCGTCACTTAAGAAATTTTATAGACTCAAAGTTTTACTAATTCAATTTTTCCTAGTAGCGTTATCGGTCATGTTTTTTTGATTGTGTATGCGAAGTGCAACTTCGCCTCTGTGTAAAATCATGTGGAAAACAATGTTGAAAAAACTAGGTTAATCAAAGTTTTCGTATGTCTCGATAAAGGAAACCTAGGGCCTAGCTTACGCTGGAGGTACGTATTTAAATTTGAATTTCTTATACTGATGTGGGACGAAATAGATAGTTTCAAAAATTGGACTTAGCTCAAAACCTTATTGTTTTACTACTAAAATAAACGAGAAGTGAAATTTTTTGAGTTTTGGACTTTTCCCAAAAACATAACTTTTCCTTTATAAAAATTATCGATTCCACAGGAAAAAATTGCACAATTGCTTCTTTCAACTGAAATTTTCATCGCAGATTTGCTTGGGTAGTTTTTAAGAAAACTCAAAAAGTTTCTTAAAAACAGTCAAATTTCAAAAACTTGACATTCCGAATTTTTTTCTGCTAAAAGCAGGTAGTGGCCGGTAGAGTAGAGAAGATTTCTAAAATCGGTTTTCTTTATTGAACAATTAATCTGAGAATCGGCACGTTAGTTTTTTAGTTGAGTAAAAAAAACGGTCAAAGCTTCTTAACTTTTACTTGGTTGAAACCCATTTTTACTTGGTTGAAACCCATTTTTACTTAGTTGAAACCCATTAGAAAACAGGAATTCGAAGTAAATATACCAAGCAAGATACTTAAAATTCAAATTAGCAACTGAACAAAACTTACAAAAAGGAAACAAGCCAAACAATTCTTGAGTGGGCATATTTTGAGCCGAAAAAAACTGAATATTTAAAAAAGAAACTTTAAAAAGGTTCAAGTCCCCTCTGAAACTACCCTGTAGCAACTAGTACCCACCCAGTAGCTAAATTTGATCTTTCAGGAAATTGAGCTTGTCAGCTGCATGTGGGCATCATAAATGATTCAACTATTCTGTTAAACTAGTTGTTTACCCGAAAAAGTCCACATTCCGATTTGATAAGGCTGGCTAATCGCAAACGTAAAGAAATTGAACCGCTCAAATGAAATTTGAGCTCAAAAAAATGAAAATTTCTCTGAAAATTTAAAAAATCAACAAGTCCTGCATAAGTGATAAATTATTTCGTTCATGATCACTTAAAATTTGTGTCGGTACAAAACAACTAATATAAAACAAGAATATGCTGTCAAAACAACCACGAATTATCAGAAATAGCTGTCAGTAGTTTAAATTTAAATTTACCAGAAAATGAGCATGCAAGTCAACATAAATAGGTGTGATTCTGTAAAACACATTCCTTTCCTGAGGAAAGATGCTCCAATTTAACATAGAGGCGAAGCTTCGCACCACTTGCGATACAACGCTAACATAAAATAAAATTATAAAAAGCCGAAAATGAATATTTTTGAAAAATACTAAGTCATATAAACTTTCATATGTCTCGATAGAAGTTCATTCCAGGCAAACATGCCAGACACTTTAATCAGCAACAAATGAACAAAATTTACCAAAAGAAACAAAGCCGTCAATCTTTGAGCAGACACAAGTTGAGCCGAAAAAAATTGATTTTATGAAAAAAAATTTAAGTCCCACCTTAAACAACAATGGACAACTATTGCACATGCAAGCACTATGAAAGTTGTTTACAGCACAAGAAAAATCAGTGATGTGGCTCTTAAGCTAACAATCTTTGAGCTGAAACCACTTGAACCGAAAAAAAATGATTTGATTTTTGCAAATTATTAAGTCCCTTTGAAACTAGAATGAACAGCACTTGCACATGCAACTACAATGAAAACTGCTTGCAGAAAAAAAAATACGTGATGTGGCAACTAATCCAACAATCTTTGAGCTGAAACCACTTGAACTGAAAAAAAATTGATTTGAATTTAAAAAAATGAAGTCCCTTTTGTGGCAACGCAGCCGACCATCTTTGAGCAGGCAACAACTGAACCGAAAAAAAAGTGTTTATGAAAATTTAAAAAACCTTTGAAGTCCCCCCTTGAAATTAGAATGAACAATATTTGCACTTGCAACTACAAGGACAATTGTCTACAGCATAAGTAAAATCCGTAGGGGCAATTTAGCCGACAAAATCTGAGCGAACAAACGAAAAAACAGCAATTCATTTTTCTCGAAGTTTTTTTTCTTGATCCTGAATAAAAACAAGATCCGGCCACGACTCGAATCCCAGAACTTAGGGCACAAAGGTAACTGCTTTACCTTCAGGCCAATGGGGAAGCAACCTGGAACATGTTAAGAGAAGAGAAGTGAATAGAAGACAAGAAGAGAAGTGAAAAGTAGTGATTCAACTGATTTTGCTAAACTAGTTGTTAACCCGAAAAAAGTCTATATTCCAGTTTGATTTTGTTAAACTAGTTGTTAACCCGGAAAAAAGTTTCTATTCCAGTTTGATATTCCCGATTGATAGCGTAACAAAGCAAATAACTGGTGAGAAAGATCATGAAATTGAAAAATTCCTCAAAACAGTTCTCAAATTAATAACATTTCGCGACTTTTTAAGAAAATGTTCGGCTTGAAGTCCTTTATTTTACGATTCGGCTTCAAGTCTCGTCTGCTTGATGTCCGGCCAAACTGTGCATTTTGTGAATTGTAAGCGGATTCCGCAACAACGACGCTTGCTTTGTTCTTCTTTTGTTCTTTCATTCTCTTAGATCGTTCCGACAACGTTTTATTGTGTTCAAAGACTTGTCTCTGGGTTCCAGAGACACAGTTTGGCCTCGCGATAAAGTCAAAAAATTTTCAGATTAATTTTAGAATTTACGCATATTTTGTTCGCGACGTTTCTTTTTCAACCTAATTTTTCACGTGGAGATCTTAACACAAGTTAGAGAATAAAATTGTTCTTTTTTTTTCAAAAATTGCTTTGAATTGATTTTTATTACAACAATTTTTTAACCTTAAATAAGCTATTCGTAGTTTCTTTAAAATCTTTAACATATACCCAACTGGTTTATGGGCAGGGGCGTTTTTGGAGGGGGCGGAAGCCCTTCTCTCCCTCAGGGATATGACCCTTCCACGACCCCTTTTCCCCTTTGGTACTATTTTACGAGATCCATTTCCGGCCGACCGACCCGAAAATGTTTTAAAAAGCGTCTTCGGCGCCAATATAAAAAAATTATCGAGGATCGCACGCCAAAAAACGCGATTTATTGATCAAATCCTTTCAAATCCCAAAACGGCTTTTTTAACTTTTTTTATTCGTCTTAGGCACCAAAAAATTCTTCAAAACGGGGTCTCTATGAAAATATGCCCACCCCCTCACGAGAAAATTCTATACTTGCCCTGGCTTTACGATAGAGAAAGCGTTTTTCTTGGCTAGCTGTTTTTGGTTATATTCTCCCTCCAAGATTTTTTGGCTTTTTTGATTTTTAAAAGATTGATACTGCCATGTTGTCACCTGTGTTGTCGGTGAGAATTTGGGTAAAAGTTAGCAAGTTTTTCTGTAACTAACTGCTTCTGCAAATCTTTTGATCGGCTGCAGCTCGTCCTAATGTACGGTGTCACGGTGAACTATGTGTCAACGGAGAGTGTATTGATTATAAAATGTCAAAAGTTCAATCGAAATTATCTTTTCTATGCCAAAAAGATCGTTTTTGACTATTTTTTGTCGACTAAACAGATTTCTGTGAATCTATTATCAGCTGTTCCATTTTTCTCTAGATTTCAACTGCTGTGGTCTCATCCGCGCGTGTGAGAGGGGAGCAATAGGTTATTTTTAAAAGATATTTTGCGTTTGGTGAAGTTTTTTTTCTAGCTGGTTTGCCTCTGTTGATTACTTGCAATAAAATAGCAAAGTTTTCGCCAAATAGAGATTATCAAAGTTTTTTTTGCGAAAACCGCAGTTGTTTGATAAAGTTTTGTTGTTAATGTTTTATATTAGTTCAGTCATGAGCAACAATTAACGTAATATGCCATCATACTGGGCGTTTGCCTGCTAGCGCGCGTTAATAAGGGTATTGCTGAACGTGTTATGCCATCTTATGGTTCCAAATTTCGAAGAAAGTGCGGAATATTTATGCTTGGCGTGGTTTTTTTTTAAAGTAAATTTTCGACTTCGTTTTTAACCAATTTTGACGAATTTTTTTTATACCATCTTATAGATATTGTTGCCCTAAGCTCAAATTTACAAAGATATTTCACCTGTGATTATTTTTCGTAAAGTTATGGGGTTTGAAAATTGCTAATTTGGCGGATTTAGGACAATTAACGCGCGTAATTTGGTCGCATCATTTGGACATAGGTCGCTAAATACATCCCTGTTTAGTTTAAAATAGAAGTTGGGGGGAATAAATTGAAGAAAAAAATTTTGAAAAAGAAAACTTTTTTCGATTGTCTTTTTTCAACCAAAAATCTTTTGAATCGACCTTAAACTGCAGTCAGAAGATTCAGGTCTTTTTTTGCGTTTCGAATGCTCCCGAAAAAACCAGCAGACACATTAATTTTTAAAGATTTCCAGATCGAAGATTCATCGGAAAAAACTAAAATCTTCAAGAATACCATTATAATAGCGAAAATAGAAAAACCAAAACTAAAAGTTCATATATCTGCGCTAAAATTTGGCTTTACCACTACAATTCATATTCTGCTAATTTTGATTTCGATCTTGTGCAAAAGTCCTACAACGAATAGAAACGTCAAACTATTATGATTGGTTGAAAAGTTTCCATCGTTTGGTCCCTTCATAATGAGAATACCTCCCGTCGCATTTGTTTGTTTTGTGGGAAACAATAAGAGCTTAAATTGGGATGATTAGAGTTTAGTAAACTATTCAACATAACAGGATGGTCCTGGTTCTTTTCACCTCTAAAAATTGATCTAGTTTTCATGGGGTACGTTAATTACCAAATACATACCCCAGATGCGACTCCCTTGTACGTCACTGTAGGCTTTGGCTCGTTATCCTGAGTTGTGTTGCAAATCTAAAAATACAGCATAAAATCAAGTAATTAAAAAGTCAATGAAAAAATGAGCACATGTTAGCACATGTTGTTGTTTATGCCTTCATCAAAAACGTGTCTCCTACCTGGAATGTCGTATTTTTATGAGGAGGATATTCAGAGTATGACAAACTAGCATTGGGGACAAATATTATTTTACATCCGTTGCTATTTGAAAAATTTTATTTGTTACTTTTTTAATCATAACTAAGCAATCAAATGATCATGTCTTAGCTGTTGCTGGACGCAACATGCACAAAACTAGCTTTTCGTATCAACTATCTAATTCAGTTTAACGATTTAGGCTTTAATTACTATAATGAAACTGAATGTAAACACGGATAGTCGGTGATATATTACAATATGTGTCAGGTTCAAGTTAAATATCTGGATCGAGTTTTGTCATACTCCGAACAGTATTTCTAATTTATTTCAACATCCATTTTTTTTGCAAAATTTGTGTAAATTATGAATTTTTGAATAACATTTCATCTGGCAGAATATTTTATTTACAAAATTATCTTAATTGCAAGTTGATACCCGCGCTATGCTCTAAATTACCACCTATTGTAACATATCATCGGATAGTCGGTTACTGTGCAATTAGCACAATATTCCGACCATGGTCTTAGAAAAACTTTTTTTTTCAAACTATTGCCGTTTATTCTGCGTAGTGGCTAAAAGGATCCGAAAGAAAAAGTAGAATTGAGGCATAATCCACATAAGTTTTTCTCAAAATGGCGCTAAGAAACTTCAAAAACTAATTTTACTTGAGTTAAACTAAGTTTTTACGGCTTAAATTAAGCATAAATAATCTTTTTTTTCGTTTGTAAGCCTGCTCGCTCGCTTTATTTGCTCAAATGTAGACAAAAATTCGGTAAATCAGAGTAAAAATCAAAAATTTGAAACCAGTTTTTCTCGACACTGGGGCAACTTTGAATTTTTATTAATGACGCACAAATCACCACTTAAAGAGCAATATTATGATATATCACCTGGCCCATTCAGGTGATATATATTTTTTCTGTTGTAAGCCTGATCGCTCTCTTTGCTCAAATTTATACAAAAATTTGGTAAATCAGAGTAAAAATCAAAAATTTGAAACCAGTTTTTCTCGACACTGGGGCAACTTTGAATTTTTATTAATGACGCACAAATCACCACTTAAAGAGCAATATTATGATATATCACCTGGCCCATTCAGGTGATATGTTTTTTTTCTGTTGTAAGCCTGCTCGCTCTCTTTGCTAAAATTTAGACAAAAATTCGGTAAATCAGAGTAAAAATCAAAAATTAGAAACCAGTTTTTCTCGACACTGGGGCAACTTTGAACTTTTTTAAATGACGCAGTAGTCACGACCTAAAGAGCAATATTATGAGATATCACCTGACCCATTCAGTTGATATATTTTTTTCTTTTGTAAGCCTGCTCGCTCTCTTTGCTCAAATTTAGACAAAATTCGGTAAATAGAGTAAAAATCAAAAATTTGAAACCAGTTTTTCTCGACACTGGGGCAACTTTGAATTTTTTTAATTACGCAGAAGTCACCACTTAAAGAGCAATATTATGATATATCACCTGGCCCATTCAGGTGATATGTTTTTTTCTGTTGTAAGCCTGCTCGCTCTCTTTGCTAAAATTTAGACAAAAATTCGGTAAATCAGAGTAAAAATCAAAAATTAGAAACCAGTTTTTCTCGACACTGGGGCAACTTTGAACTTTTTTTAATTACGCAGAAGTCACGACTCAAAGAGCCTTATTATGATATACCACCTGACCCATTCCGATGATTATTTGGGGTAACTGCTTTTGCGTGGAAAAAGAAGAAAAATATTTCGAACTCACAAATTTCTCCGATTTATCACTCGACTCATTCCGATGATTATTTTTGGCGAGGAGACAAAAACATTAAAACACAGCCGAATACTAAAAGCCTCTCATTTTCAATAGTCGGAACAACAACTTATGCTTAGCAACATGTTTCGGAATAAAAGCCAAGTGGCATATTCCAAACGTTGGCTAAAGATAACTGCCTCTACTAAGTTTCGACAAATAAGTTAAGTAGATCAGTTTAACTCAAGGTTCTGACACGGCCAATTAGTGAACTCAAAACTTGAACTGTTTTACTAAGAAATTTTTACAAAGACACTTTTACTCAGAAAAAAAAAGAAGTAGAAAAGGACTCAATTCCGATGAAGGAATTACATGAAATTCATAGTGAGTTGCTTAATACTTTTGAGGAATAAATAAATTTCAAAACTGTTAATTTGAGACCAATAAATTTTGCAATGGCAATGGCACTTAATTAAAAAATTGGAGTTGTTAATATCAATTGATTGCAATCTTTCAAAAAGAAAATTATCAAAAATAGACATCCATAGCAATCTGGAACGTTTTCAGTGTCGTATCAAAATTAATTTTGTTACATGAAGCATCCTGTTTGCTGCTCTACGTCTCATCAATTTTTCTATAACGCTTAAACTCGACTCATCCATTATGACTGATCTGGGGTCAGTTTAACCTCGATTTTGATTTTATAGGATATGTCAACAGTTTTGTTGACTATTTTCCAGTGTAACAAAAGATCAGTTCGCTGCAACGAAAAAGAAATCAGAAGGAGCTTCAAACGAAACAAGTAGTTAACCTCACAATCGTCTATACGGTCAATACATTTTGTAACTCTTTGCTGAAAGTTTTCTAATTTTAGCAAACATGTTATTGGCAGACACCAAGCCGAAAAGCAGTAAAATGAGATTGATATAATTGACGATTGATTTAACTTTTTCCTGGGATACGTGACGCCTTCTGGGACGTTCCTCTTTTTTAAAATGAAGACACGAAGCCATTTTGATGTTTTTGTTTCGGTGGTGCTTCCAGTTTAAGTTTTGTGGAACAATGGCGCCTAGATTTGTCATATAATCAATTGTGTCAAGTGACGATTTATCAAGGGTAAAATCTTGTATGTGTTAATAAAAAGTAGAATTTTGGTTTTTGGTGAGTGAACATAAGGCCGTTTGCAGTCGCTCTTTCTGATTAAGCTATATATATCGAATTGAGTTTATTCAGTATCAAAAAGTGAGACAACTTTCATGTAATCGCATTAGAGAGAATTCCTAATGTAAAAACATAATCAGAAAAGTCATATAAAGTAAAGGCTCAGAAGTCGCAATAACTTCAATTTTAGCACTGTCAATTTTAGCACTCAGTATCCTGTCACTCCAGTAATCAGCATATAACATAACAAGTTTTTTTGCCAAAACCGAGCCTACGAAGTTTCGTTACCAAGATATGATAAGACACGGAGTACAAAGCTTTTTTTTACATATCGAAAGAGATATAAGTTTAGGGGGTGTTCGAATCGATGTTGTCATATACCGCATCAAGATAAACTAGCATTTGAGTAACGGTGCTCTTGTTTTTTATGAATCCTTGTTAATCAGGGTTTGTGAAGTTTTTTTTATTTTGGGTTAGTCAAATTCTAAAATATCACGCTCCGTGATTAAAGATAATTTTGGTAGAATACTTATCGGCCCGTAATTTTCAACGTTAGTAATTGAATCAGACTTATGAGTAGATGTAATTTATGAAAATTTCCTGATCGACATCCTGGTAAATTCAGTATTTGTTAAAAATAGATAAAAGAAGGGTTGACAATACTTTAGCGCCTTCTTTTAGAACGAATGAAGGTATTTCATCCGCTGTGCAAAGGGTTGAGTCATCGCAAATAAATATGAAGTTTTGATTATCAGAGCATAAGTTAACATTCACTTGGAATTTTTTCTCTTCAAACATATCAAAAGTTTGTTTGGGCAAAAAGCGGATTGATTAAATTAGCTTTTTCATTTTCAGTTTCCACTGTCTCGCCTGACCATGTCATGATAGCCAGTAAACTTGAATGGTTTTGCTTAGAGGAGTTTAGAAGTCGAGCACATTGCTTACTGTCTTTGAGAATGATTTTTCAGACAAGGATTTTTGTCTAAATCAATCGATTCCAAAACTTGTAGAGTTAGATCTCGCTGAGTTAATGACAAACGCAACGACCACGACATTTGGAGCTTTCTTATGATAGAATGCTTCTTTTTTTTGTAGAAGCATTGCGTAGGATGAATGAAAGTATGTCACATTTACTCGACGCGATTGTTTTTTGTTTTCGAGGAAGCATTGACCTCTAATAGAAGTTCATACCGGCACAAAATGATTTTTTTTCCTAGAGTTTTTTGTTAAACTAAGATAATCAAATAAATTATTCAAGTATAAGTTGAGTAGCTTATTGTCCCAAGAAGACCGGGAAATAGAGGAAAAGTGAATGCGGTACTCAAAGCTTAACTTTAATTAGAAGTTGACTGTGAAATGGTCCGATATTGAGACTGTAGCTACAGAGCTAGACACACTATCGACATGACTTATTATCAAATCCAAAATGTTTCGATGAGTAAGTTGATGGACTAATTTATTAAAATTGTGGTCCTCAAATAAATGAATCAAATCATTTTCAAATGAATTGCTTCAGAGGTAAGTCAGTCCGAGTCAAGTCCTGGTAATTAAAATTCACCTCAGAAGAAGACTGAAAAAGTTGAACGACCTGAAGTTTAGCATGGTAAAGTTGACATAAGTCTGGAAGCATTCGCTAATTGTTTTATAGTCAATGTGATATGTCGACGAGAATAGTGGGTTATAAACTAAGATGCTGAAACCTATTGATGAAGAGGTCAAAAGATGTCCGACATGGATGCACTGATATCTGAAGAAGCAATCAAGATTCCGCCATGTACAACGTATATTCGATTGGATCTTGTGACACTGCAGAAAGAAAAACCTAGAAAAACTTCGGATAGCCACGTTTTCATTAGGAAAGATAACGATTAACTGTTGGTGTAAAGGTATCGTAATAAATTTTGAAGTTTGTTCAGACTTCATATAGACTGACAGTTGAGCTGTTAACAATTAACTTTATGAGTCAATCAAGGTTTATCGGCCCTAA